ATCTTACCTTGAAGCAGTGCAGCTACCATTCATGTAAGTTAAAGCCTCTACCATTTTACTTTGTAACATTAATGCCATCTTTATACCAATACTCTAGCGATGGGACTATTAGGACTTTAGAAAATCACAGCAAAGTATTGTGGCCTTTACCTAATCACTTTACAGGCTAGCGAGCAAGTGAACCACATCAATCCGTGTTAGAAGTTGGATTCCAACGCACACGTCCATTGGAGACTGCGACCTGAACGCAGCGCCTTAGACCGCTCGGCCATCCTGACTTGAAAATGCTGTAAGTAGTGAAAATTACAAAAAGTATCTGGATTTCGTACACTGCATATGTCATTGCTTTACCCTTTGTTAGTATATTCTTACATAGAATATTGTGTCTAGACGCCGCATTGCAGCATCTTACCTTGAAGCAGTGCAGCTACCATTCATGCAAGTGCACGCCTCTAGCATGTTACTTTGTAACATTAATGCCATCTTTATACCAATACTCTAGCGATGGGACTATTAGGACTTTAGAAAATCACAGCAAAGTATTGTGGCCTTTACCTAATCACTTTACAGGCTAGCGAGCAAGTGAACCACATCAATCCGTGTTAGAAGTTGGATTCCAACGCACACGTCCATTGGAGACTGCGACCTGAACGCAGCGCCTTAGACTGCTTGGCCTTCCTGACTGGAAACCTCTGTAAGTAGTGAAAATTATAAAAGTATCTTGATTTCGTACACTGCATATGTCATTGCTTTACCCTTTGTTATTATATGCTTACATAGAATATTGTGTCTAGACGCCGCATTGCAGCATCTTACCTTGAAGCAGTGCAGCTAGCATTCATGTAAGTGAAAGCCTCTAGCATGTTACTTTGTAACTTTAATGCCATCTTTATACCAATACTCTAGCGATGGGACTATTAGGACTTTAGAAGATCACAGCAAAGTATTGTGGCCTTTACCTAATCACTTTAAAGGCTAGCGAGCAAGTGAACCACATCAATCTGTGTTAGAAGTTGGATTCCAACGCACACGTCCATTGGAGACTGCGACCTGAACGCAGCGCCTTAGACTGCTTGGCCTTCCTGACTGGAAACCTCTGTAAGTAGTGAAAATTATAAAAGTATCTGGATTTCGTACACTGCATATGTCATTGCTTTCCCTTGGTTATTATATGCCTAACATAGAATATTGTGTCTAGACGCCGCATTGCAGCATCTTACCTTGAAGCAGTGCAGCTAGCATTCATGTAAGTGAAAGCCTCTAGCATGTTACTTTGTAACATTAATGCCATCTTTATACCAATACTCTAGCGATGGGACTATTAGGACTTTAGAAGATCACAGCAAAGTATTGTGGCCTTTACCTAATCACTTTACAGGCTAGCGAGCAAGTGAACCACATCAATCCGTGTTAGAAGTTGGATTCCAACGCACACGTCCATTGGAGACTGCGACCTGAACGCAGCGCCTTAGACTGCTTGGCCTTCCTGACTGGAAACCTCTGTAAGTAGTGAAAATTATAAAAGTATCTTGATTTCGTACACTGCATATGTCATTGCTTTACCCTTTGTTATTATATGCTTACATAGAATATTGTGTCTAGACGCCGCATTGCAGCATCTTACCTTGAAGCAGTGCAGCTAGCATTCATGTAAGTGAAAGCCTCTAGCATGTTACTTTGTAACTTTAATGCCATCTTTATACCAATACTCTAGCGATGGGACTATTAGGACTTTAGAAGATCACAGCAAAGTATTGTGGCCTTTACCTAATCACTTTAAAGGCTAGCGAGCAAGTGAACCACATCAATCTGTGTTAGAAGTTGGATTCCAACGCACACGTCCATTGGAGACTGCGACCTGAACGCAGCGCCTTAGACTGCTTGGCCTTCCTGACTGGAAACCTCTGTAAGTAGTGAAAATTACAAAAAGTATCTGGATTTCGTACACTGCATATGTCATTGCTTTACCCTTTGTTAATATATTCTTACATAGAATATTGGCTAGACGTCAGCATTGCAGCATCTTACCTTGAAGCAGTGCAGCTAC